GTTTAGCTGCAAAGTCCAAAAGCACAGAGCATCTGATAAGGGTCTTCAAGCTGTGTCATCGAATGAAATAAGGCCAGGCAGGCATAGGAAGTATATGGGGACCAGGGCTGAATTCATTGGAACTGATAAGTGACCCACGACAGCCCTGTGAATCCACTCATGGGGTCGTGTCCTCATGACCCCATCGCCTCTTACATTGGTACAGTGAGGGTTAAGTAAATTTGAGGAATCATAGTCAAGCCGTAGCATTCTGTGTTTAAGATTGTAAAACATACTGGCTTACTGTTTATAACTTTTTATTGGCTATTTAACTTGGAACTGGATGGTATTTCCATGCTTTTTGGGATACTGGAAGAATACTGTGACATTCTCACATCTTCGCTTTCCTATATATAGTTGAAGAGAAAATATTTTCTCAAATATTTCGTGATTTTATTTACTTATTTTCGTTAGTTCACTAAATTAAAAAAAAAATCTATGCATTTCAGATACCCTGAATTGTTTATCAATTTCAAAGTATTAAATAGTGTTCAGGTTTCCTTGTAAACGTTTAGAAACCCATTTTAATCATTCATCTTGGCTGCCCTGTTAGCCTACTCATTCTGACGACTGTTTTTATCCTTCTTTCGTCTCTTTCCCTCTTTTGCCCCAGTAATGTGATAAGCATTGATTTAACCTCCTTCCCCCCACCCTTGACACAGATGGGTCTTCCTCTGTGTCTGCCTCTTCAGGGTGTGTACATGTTAACTACAGCACAGCTGCCCTTAATGTAAGGGCTGTCCTAGCATAGCACTGAACTTTAGCTTGTATTTTTGGTCCTGATATCATAAAAATCAAATTTGATAAGTAGTAAATATTTTATAAATGCTTCATAAATGTATGGAAGTGCATTGTTTAGCTGGATGCTTGACTTGGCTGAGTTCTAAGAGTCTTCTCAGTTTCTATTTAGAAAATTCAAGTTCTTGAAGCTGAGAGAGAGAAGAATGTTTATTACCTCACAGAGAAGGACAGAGAAATACAGAGACTCAAAGACCAGCTAAAGGCCAGATACAGTTCTTCCTCATTGCTTGAGCAACTGGAGGAGAAAGCGAAGGAATGTGACAAGAAGCAGCAGTTGCTGGAGTCCTTATCCAAAGAGACAGATGTCCTGAAGAAGCAGCTGTCCGCCACAACCAAAAGACTTTCTGAACTGGAAGACAAGGCCTGTGCCCTCCATCTGTCCCAGGTGCTAAGACTTTCTTCAGAGCTTTTTCCTGTCTGCTACAGTTTATAGTTCTTATGAAGAATAATGAGTTTTTTAATGTTTGTGAAATGATATAGAACCTTAGTGCACCTACAGATCACTTCTTTTTGGTTTTTTAGTTGAATCTTCTTCCATAAATTAAAAACAATGCAGTTCCCTGCCCTCCCACACTGTTGTTTCACCCAGAAGACTATTCAGAAGACAGTCTGCACTGTAACTACAAAAGTCAAGAAAGATTTTGCTGAGATTTTATTTCAGTAGTTTGTATTATATAAACATTAGGTTTAAGTTTTGGGTTAGTTTTCGTATTTGAGATAAAAAGTTATGATTTCACATCAGTAAAACCGAGCTAAGAGCACTGATGATGCCCTATGATAATGATTGACCAGGTGCCTTGCAGAAATTACCTATTGGCCAAACCTTTGGTTCTTTTGGCATTTGAATATTACTGTCTGTAGAAGAACAAGTTTGAGTTGTAACTTCTCAGTGGTGGAGTGCTGTATTAGTTACTTCTCCTGTCGCTGTGTTTAAGGGTTTGTTCTGGCTTATGGTCTGGGGATCGTTCTGTCATGGTGGGGAAGGCAGCAAGAACAGGGGGCCTGATGGTTACTCAGGAAGCAGGGGAGAACAGGAAGTGGAGCCCTGCCTTTAAAGCTCCAAGGCTGACCCTCGTGACCCACATCCTCCAGCAAGACTCCACCCCTAAAGGCTCTTCAGCCTTCCCAAACAACCCCAGCACCCACATAGGACTTTCCTTATGGATGCTTAAGAAAAACACCCAAATCCCCCAAACCCTGAAAAGCAGGATTTTTAGAGTCTGCTGGTTAGTCTGGGATTATTGCCACTCGGTTTTCCTCTATGGAAGAATGAAGAAAGGAGAGCTGTTATGAAAGTATGTTTTGAGTTCCATGCAATCTATTTGAAGAGGTACTTATTAATATTATTATAGTCTCCCAAATCTGAAACTTTTTGAATGTTATCAAGTGGGAAATTTCACACCTGACCTCACATGACTGTCACAGCCAGAATCCAGGCACATTAAATGTTTTGTGTAAAATTGTCTACAGGTAATGTGTACATGAAACAAACGGCCTGGCAGTGGTGGTGCATGCCTTGCACTCGGGAGGCAGAGGCAAGCGGAAAGATCTCTGAGTTCGAGGCTAGCCTGGTCTAAGGGAGTTCCAGGACAGCCAGGGCTATACAGAGAAACCCTGTACTAAAAGGAGAAAGAAAAAAAGAAAAAATGAATTTCACATTTAGAGTTTAGTCCCATCCCTTTTTAGTTTAGGAATACTCAACCTATACTAAAACTTTTAGTCTTTGACAGTTTGGTTTATTTCTTTGAAATAGCCGAGTTGTTTGACTCCTTTTGGTGAAAACTCGGTGGGCTATTTATATGCACTAAAGGTTCTGGGGATTGTGGGATCCAAAAACTCTCAGAATAAAATTAGGTCTGAAGTCTCAGGGTTTCCAGATCACTTAGGACAGGGGTTCCCAACCTTCCTAATGCTACCACTCTTTAATACAGTTCCTCATGTTGTGGTGACCCCCAACCATAAAGCTATTTTTATTGCTACTTCATATTTTGCTACTGTTGTGAATCATCATGTAACTATTTCTGGAGATTGAGATTTGTCAGAGGGGTCGGGACCCACATGTTGAGAACTGTTAGCTCAAGCGCATTCCCAGGGAATTGAATTCTGTCCGATGTCCCTTGGTAATTCTCACCTGGCTTAGTACAGAGGTGAGTTTGGGATGTCCAGAGAAATATTTTGTACTTTTATGGAACTAAGTATAATGAAACTTGTATTGTTGAGTGGATGGTGTTAACTGATGTTGGGTTATTTACAGAGCATGCCTGCAAACTGCTTCAACTCATCAATGAGTAGTATTCATGAAAAAGAAATGCAGCTGAAAGATGTAAGTTGTTTGTTTGTTTGTTTGTTTGTTTGGTTAAACAATGGATAAAGAGGACTAATTCATATGTTCTTAAATTTCATAGAAATTGGAAGGATTAGTGTTATGATTTTAAAAAAAAACAAATCTAGTGAGGTAGGAGAACTGAGTGTTTGAGATCATTGTCAAGGGTATCCATAGACTAGAAAGTTCTAGAACTAAGCTTCCATCTACCTTAGCAGCATACTTTTTCACCCACATCTAATTTGCCCAAATGGTTGCTCATTATAATGTAATTTAATTTATGCTTTTCTTTTTGTTTATCTATTTGTTGTATATTCATTATCTTCAAGTCTTTCTCTGAGAATAGTTGGAAAGGAAACACATGTATATTCAGTAGTTCTCTAGAATTAGACGTGAGGGTTACTTTAGATGTACCAGAAAGGTTTATTACTTCAAACTTACAAATGGACAAGTAAGTTTTGCTGGAAATTGGATAAACTGAGGGCACAGGACTATTTGTATTTTTTCAGGTTTCAGATTAAATATGTGAAGTATAAAGTTGTTGATTTTAATTAATAGATCACTAGATAGCTATTCTGATTATAGAAACATTACCTGTGTGTCTACAGGTGTGTCCACCCTGATACTGATAAGAATGCCCTTAAGATTCCTGTTTTGTTTAATCTAGCAAGTGTCCCTTGAAGCCTATTTGACTTTCAAAAGAAGAATTTAAATATCTTGAGTGTCTATTCCGGGTGCTATGGTACCTTTATCAAAGTGTTTACCTGGAGGTTATTGAAATAAATATAATTTTAAAAATTATTAAATGGGTTTTATTTTACAGTGAATTTGGCCCCTCTGTGCATACTAGTACCTACTGAGTAGATGAATGTATTTAGGTAATTTACCTTGTACACCTTTCATTTTCTCATTGTTTACTTCTGTCATGCTGAGTTTCCAGCCACTTCTTGAAATGAATAGCCTTTCCTCTTCTTTCCTCTGGCTGGGCGCTCTGTTTACATGAGAAAGACTTACTCAAATGCAGTAAAATCAAACTCAATTCACCTTCAGGCTAAATCTAAACTGAGTGGTGTTTATCTAGGTGGTTTTCTTGAAATGTAGATTTGGATTTAATGGGTCTGGGGTGGGGCTGTACCTCTGGCCTGCTGTTGCTGCTGGTCCCAGGAGCACACTTGGATCATTCTAACTTCTGAAGAGCTCCAGACAGTTCAGGCCTGGTTTCGTGAAGATCTCAGCAAATCTTTGAGGAGGAGGAAAACTGGAGTTGGCAGACTTGGAGAGTGGGAAAGAGACATCTCACTCACTCCTCATCTACACTGGCATGTTCGCCTTGTGAGAGCTTGGAAACTAATTCCATCTCAGAGTTCCCAGAGAAGTGCCTAAGGAGGCTTATCTTATTAAGAATTAGTGTTAGTAAAGTAAAATAAGCTTTAGAATGCATGTGTATGTTTCTTATTCTTCAGCCACCATTTAGGTCTCTCAGACAGCTTGAAATAATTACCTGGTGGTAATTGTTAGATTTCTTAGGCATCTTAAAGACCCATAAAGGCAGAAAGGGAGGCGCATCTGACCTTAGGCAGGACCATATTTATTGATAGGTGGTTGAGCCATATGTCCCATAAATAGGTGGTGCTCCTCTACTTCTGTCACACCTGATTCAGATAGGCCACAGGGCCAGTGAAAGGTCCTCAGAGCTTTCAGCTAACTGGCCAGTGGAGAATTCCAGAGTTCTCAGCCTATCTTAGCCAGTGGAAAGCTCTTGGAATCTTTGACCAATATGGTGATTCCCCAAACCTAACTGGGGCTCCTCCAAGTTAAGTGTAATAGATTACCTTGTCCCTCATAGCATTTTGCTGTGTGGCATGCATGTTTTGGAAGGGACATGAACTCACTCACATGGGTGATTGTGCCATACATCTCACAGCATGCGGGTGCCTGAGAGAATGCCCATGGAAAAAGATAGGAGGCAGAAATGACTACCATGTGTTTCCCTGCCTCAGTCCTCCTTCCCTTTTGGAGTTGGCTTGCCTAGCTGGGAAGTATAATCTTTCTGCAGGAAGCTATCAGTAATGCCATAGATGTTGTCAAATATCAAAACTGTTACCATTTTTGTACTAACTATACCAACCAAATAACTAGCTGAAAACAGTAGGCATGTCTTGGTCTTAATGTTACAAAATTGGATTTTCACTTTGTCTTAGAGAAGATATGTAATTTTAATATTTTTTTATTTAGAAAATATAAATTATTAGAAGAGTTCTACGAATGAGAATGATACTTGTATCACTGTTATACTCTACCTAAATGTAACCATTTGTCACATTTTTAATCCCGTTTTTGTGTTTTTCTCTTACCGTTCACCTACACAAATACACAAAGTTCTTTTTCTGAGCCATTCAAGAGGGAGCTGCACATATCTGTAATTATTTAGCCCTACCTACATATGCATTTCTTATAGCTTAAACAGGAACTTAATAAATTTAACATGGACACAATACTTCTGGTTAGCCTACCGTCCCTAATCCAGTCTTATCGATGAACTCACAAGTTTTATTCCTCCAGTACAGCTTGCATTTTGATCTATTTTGAAATTTTTATCCACAGAGTACTTAGCAGATCCCTGGCCAAAGGTGGAATGCACTTCCATGCACTTCACATTTTTTTAAGGTACATGTTAGTACATGCCTCCTGTATGTGTAGATGACACAAAGTTAGAAGAAATAGCTAATGTGATGATGTCTCTAAAAAGTCAAACCCATATCAATGTTCAATGAGAGCTTTCTAATCTGATCATTGATAGTAGAAGAAAGGGTGGATGCATATAAAAGAATTGGAGAGAAAAGCAATGTTTGCTTTAGCTGGGCATGGTGACTTAGAGATATAATATTATGCTTGAGAGGCTGTGGCAGGAGGATCTCAAGTTCAAGGCCAGGCCAGGCAAGGCAGAGGTAGGGTCGAGAAGAGCTTACTTTGTTAAGTAACATCGCCATCGTGTGGCTTTTCTGAGTATTACCTCTTAAGTCTTTTCTTTAAAAAGGTTTTTGTCTTTAATTACTGTTCCATGTATATGTACATTTAAAGAATATAAATACAATTTGATGAGTTCATTTTTTTTTTTGAGACAGGGTTTTTCTGTGTAGTTTTGGTGCCTGTCCTAGATCTTGTTCTGTAGACCAGGCTGGCCTGGAACTCACAGAGATCCGCCTGGCTCTGCCTCCTGAGTGCTGGGATTAAAGGTGTGTGCCACCACCGCCAGGCTGATGAGTTCATTTAATGTTACCCACATGTATATGTTTTTAGGGTTCATCACTTGATATTGGATAGCCAGTTAGGGGGGCTCATCTCTGGGAAAGACTGGTTCTTCCCCAGCAATTGTAAATTGCCTGTAACTGAAATCTTAAATTTTTAATTCATGTGCTTGAGTCAAGTATCAACAGGTTCATTTGAAAAACACTGGTGACCATCTAATGTAGATTTAAATTATTTGTATTGGTACTTCCTAAAGATGGACAAATATAAAGTTTGATAGAAAATTAGATGTCTTTACTATGTAATATTGTAATTTATAGGTAGTTAGATATGCACATGTGCTCTCTGGGTCACACGGTGTTCTTTTGTTTTTTTTTTTGTATTGTTTGTTTGAGATAGGGTTTCTTTGTATAGTCCTGGCTGTCCTGGATCTCCCTCTGTAGACCAGACTGGCCTCGAACTCACAGAGATCCACCTGCCTCTGCCTCCAAGTGCTGGGATTAAAGATGTGTGCCACTGGGCCTGGTAACATTCGGTGTTCTTTAGAACTGAATTTGAGAATGAGCTGGAGGTCCTCATGAGAAATCAATCCAGAGTAGCTTGGCCACCGTGAAAGAATATTAGGCTTAAGGCATACATCACCATGTATGTGTCTTTTGGGACCCTTTACCCAAAACATTTAACATGCACATGGTATCAGGTTTGGAGGTGCATGACCTTTTTGCACAAATAATTGTTAAGGCGTATTTCCAGCCTCTCAGGATCGTAGAACAAGAGGGGACGATTCTTTCCTATTAGACCGAACAAGTAGATTGGATAGGAGTTGTAATCTCATTGTATATTTATACTCCTTTTATTTTGATTTGGTTAAGTTTCCAAGAGTCAACAGTGAAGGATAGAGACTTAGAATCAAAGCTCTTTCTAGACGTGAGATTGGAACAGCTCACGTGTGCATCTGCCCCAGGGGCATTCTGGTTCCCAGGCACTGATGTGTACATGAACACAAAGGGAGCTGTGTGTGTGTGGGAGGCGGCAGACAGACAGAATGAATCCCCTGGAAACTGACCCTCCTGTACTCTAAAGGGACATGCAGTGGCTGCCTGTGAGTAGTTTATAAGTCATAAGGTATTGTGTGTGTTGGAAAAGATAATGTCATAGGGACTTCCTTACACCTTTTACGATCGGGGCTTTTTATTCTGCTGTTGATTTTTCATTCACTCTAAGGCTCTGGAGAAAAACCAGCAGTGGCTTGTGTATGACCAGCAGCGAGAGGCCTACGTTAAAGGACTTTTAGCAAAGATCTTTGAGCTGGAAAAGAGAGCAGAAGCAGCCGCTGCTTCACTCCCACAGCAGATGAAAAAGATGGAATCAGAAGGTACTGAGCTATAAAAGGGCTCTTTTGGGATAAGCCTGACATTTTCCAACAGGAGTGAGTCATCAAATTTAGATTTTTCTTTTATGTAGATATGTGTTAGAAAGTAAAATAACATCATGTCCTTTACGCTTGAAGTAAGAAATAGCACTTGGAAAGTCTGTTTCCTTCCCCCTTGTTTCCAGATATAAGAGGCCACAGGTGAGAGAGCCATCCATCACAGAGTTAGTTCTGAAGTCAGGGTGATTTTCCCTACATGAACACCTTTCCCCTTCAAAGTTCTTCTCAGTCCCTCCAGAGCTGACCTGGGTACCAGTTTCCTTTTGCGGGGGTAAATGGGTAGGATGATGGATTGAGATAAGGTTTTTCCACATAGCCCTGGCGAGTCTGGTACTTAAAATGTAGCCTAGACTAGCTTCCACTTCAGATCGGTCGTCCTGCCTTGGTCTCCTAAGTGCTGGTATTATAGGTGTGTGCTACTATACTTGGCGTTAGTCGTCATTTCGCTTTGCTTGCCTTTGGCTCTTGTATCAGATCCAGGAGAAAGAACAGGCCTTGTAGATGATGCCTCAACCATTTAATCCTTGCTGTGAGCTTGAGTAGTTACCCATGATGCTGTTTCTGCCCAGTGTTCTACAGTTTCTCTTACATTCATTTCCCCAGAGTTAGACAACATCTCTTAGAAGGTGGGCCAGGAAGAGTCATATTTAACAGCTTATAAAGAAATAAGCTCGGCAGGCAGTGAGCTAGGAAGAAAAGATCTACCATCTCAAATGCCAGCCATAGCCCCCACCTCCTGACTCTTTATTTTATAAGCTGAAGAAATGCTGAGGTCTCATTTGTAGGGATATGTTTGAAGTTTTAACTTCTTGGGATGTTACAAAATGCATTGTAATGTTGTTTGTTACAGTTTATTTTAAAGAGGAGAAGCAAAAATATGATCATCTCTTGGAAAATGCCAAGAAGGATCTTGAAGTTGAACGACAAACAGTAACTCAGTTGCGTTTAGAACTTGATGAGTTTAGGAGAAAATATGAAGAAAGTCAAAAAGAAGTTGAAGATTTAAATCAGCTGTTGAGTTCGCAGCGAAAGGCAGACATCCAGCAGCTGGAAGAGGACAGACATAAGACAGAGAAGATCCAGAAGCTCAGGGAGGAGAGCAGTGTCTTCAAGGGAAAACTGGAAGAGGAGAAGAGGAAGTCTGAAGAGCTCTTATCTCAGGTGAGCCAGCCACTGAGGTCTCTGTTCTTCAGATTTCAACCAAGGGTCAGGGAGCCCAGACCACCTGGGAGCCAGCAAGGAACAGAACCAGTCCCTGCCTCCTTTGGGCATTCATAGTCTAGCATGGAAGCAGACCACGAGTTAGTACTAAATAAACAGATAAGCCAAGGAAACCAAAACAAGATGATGTGAGAAGAAGAAACGGGCTGTGGCATTTAGAGACTTGACGGTGGGATCCCGCACAATGACTCTGGGAATCCCTTCAGTGGAGGACACCACACATGCGAAGGCTTGAGTGAAGAGGTAGATTGTGTGCGAAGTAAAGGCAGTGAGAGGAATCCACTTGATTCCTAGGCTGTGCTCATGAGTGTGCTGATGTGCTCAAATGAATTCCCAGAGTCCCTTAGAAAGAACAGTGTTTGGAATTCACAGCTGGACTGTAGACAGAGTACATGCCTGCAGCAAAATGCTTGTCTCCTCTAACTCACAATGTTCACTAGTCAAATTTTGTGTGGGGCAACTGAGTAATATGAAAGCGTTTTGTAAACTAAGTAGATGCCAGTGGAGGTTATTGCTACTAAATTGTAATTTTTAACATCCTGCAGAAGTTGAGAGCTGAGGAAGAGTCAGTAATCCTAATATCTTCTTCCTTCGTCTTCACTTTGCTAAACTTTGACCTGTAGGTGTGAGTTGTGACATTTGGGAAAGGTTAAACAGCTAAAAGGAAATTTTACTTCCCTTTTTGACACATCCCTCCTTGCTATCCTACCAAAGCCTCCAGGAAAGGGGTGTGGCCACACAGAGCAGTGTTGGCTGCTCAGGGAACTCTCATTCGGGATGATACTGCTCATCCTGCTTAAGTGGAATGCCTCAAATAACCAGCTGGGATGACTCATCCCGCTCAGTAGGTGTTGTCCTAGTTAGAAGTGGGGCTTGCAATGTAGTTCCTTGTCTGTCCCAGGTCTAGTGAGGAGAGGCAGGTGAGATAATGCTGGCTGTCTTTGCATCCTCCAGGTCCGAATTCTCTACGAGTCTCTGTTAAAACACCAAGAGGAACAGACCAGGGTAGCTCTGCTGGAGCAACAGGTACTTACTGGGCATGTTCGGAAGTCCATTCAGCTGGTAAAAAACAGAACTCCAGTGTTTATACTGTTCTATGGAGAACGACTTGAAAGTTATTGAACAAAATGGTTTTAAAAGGACTAACACATGTTTTCTTAGAGACTCTGTACCACTCACGTATTCTACAGCTATTCTTAGCCTAAACCAGATTTTTTTGTTTGTTTGTTTGTTTGTTTGTTTTTCGAGACAGGGTTTCTCTGTGTAGTTTTGGTGCCTGTCCTGGATCTCGCTCTGTAGACCAAGCTGGCCTTGAACTCACTGAGATCCGGCTGGCTCTGCCTCCCGAGTGCTGGGATTAAAGGCGTACACCCTAAACTGGATTCTTAAAGGTGTGGTGGCGGTTTTCCTGACAGGTTGGCTTGGGCAAATGTTGCTCTTCATGGCTGTAGTTCCTACTCTAGGCTAACAGGGTCTCTTCCTAGGTCACCCTGTGAGTTCAAGCAGAGTGGACACCATTTATTCTCACAATGTATAGTAGAATTTCTTAATATATTTCAAACCAGGGAGTAGCCATCTCCCACCCCCACCAAAAATTCCAAGAATGTGAAGGAATAACTCCAGCAACTTCTTAAACTGCCCTCCACTCATCCATACCTTAGGCCTTGGCTTTGCTAGTTCATAAAGCAGCTCTTTAGCCATAAACTTCCTTTACTAATAATCTTGATATGCTCAGATGAGTTCTTGATAAGCAGGCCCAGCAAGTATTCTCTTGTGCTAATAAAGACTAAACAGTCAATAAAGAGAACTAGGTGTGGTGATATTTTATCTGTGTCCCCCAATAAAATTTATCTGAGGGTCAGAGAAAAAGCCAGCCACTATATTAAACATAGAAGTCAGGCAATGGTAGCACACACCTTTTTTTTCCCTCAAGACAGGGTTTCTCTGTGTAGTTTTGGTGCCTAGCCTAGATCTCGCCCTATAGACCAGGCTGGCCTCGAACTCACAGAGACCCACCTGGCTCTGCCTCCTGAGTGCTGGGATTGTGCCACTACCCGGCTTCTCTCAGCTTTTTTTACCCCAGTATTTGGCTCTGGGTTTTTATTAATAAGACCGTTTAGCAATTTGTCTACGACTGGGCAGGATCTACCAGTTTTAACTGCCTTGTCCTCACATATTCCAGATGCAGGCCTGTACTCTAGACTTTGAAAATGAAAAACTTGACCGCCAGAATATGCAGCATCAACTGTATGTGATTCTTAAGGAACTCCGAAAAGCAAGAAGTCAAATAACACAGTTGGAATCCTTGGTAAGTTTTGAATGGCTAATATAAAACTTATTCTTCATTCTCTTTTTCTACTTCTCCATTGATGTGTCAGCTCAGTTCCCAAACCAGTAATAGAGCCTCAAATGAACTTATCTCAAATCATAGTTGCCTCCTCTGTGGCACCTAACCTTACAGCATCAGTGCAGGACTCAGAAGGCGGGGCCTTACGAAGCTCTTGCTCATAGTTACTTTACCGGTGTCTGGGATCATCTCCTGCCCAGGTTGGGCACTGCCATTCTAGAGATGTCCAACAGTACTTTGCATAGAGGGCAGAAGGTAGAAAATAGGGCATCGTGGCATTACTTTTTCATATTTCTAATGAGTTTGTATGCATTTATGTGTCTGTGAATGTGCCCAGATGTCCCATTAGTGCACATTTATATATTGTCCTTGAACTGCAGAACATTTGGAAATGGAGAATATTATAAACTCCTAGTTTCTAAGGGAGAGGAGAAAAAAGCAATTGTTAAAGTAATTTATAACTTGTATGTTAATAAAATAAATATCTTCATAATGTGCTATAAAATATGAATGTTTAAGCTTTCTTGACTATTCTAAATTCTCTTTAAAGAAATGAAAAAGCCAAGTCTCAAAGGTATGTAGCATCCTGGTCATCTGTGTATGTAACCTATCTGAGCTACTAAAATTCTCTGCTGCTCTCCATTCTGTGTAGGATTTCGTTGCTGCTCTCTTTTCTGCATTATGATTTTACTCCCCAGGATGTGAAACACTCCCCAACGAACATCTCCATCTTCCCACTTCAACCTCCCAGGTGCTGGGAACTTTGTACTTCTTTATTCCTTAATTTACTTCTGGCAAATGTATGCACACTCTTGAAAATGTCATGATAAATCCCATTATTAAATTGAATTAAAAAAGTAATTTTTTTTTTTTTTACATTTGACTCTGTGCCTTAAGCACAGGCTGTCTATATGAGCACTAACTCACTACTTTCCTGAGTAGTTACATTATCCAAGTTATTCATGACTACTTATATGTTACCATTAAAACAATAATGAACAGAAATCCAAACTAAGCTCCCTGCAGGGCTGAAGCATGCAGAGGGTGCACAAAGCAGTTGAGACTGCCCAGCCCTCAGTCTTCCGTTCAAACAGTGTTCATTTGAAATTTGTTTTGCAGAAGCAGCTGCATGGGTTTGCCTTCCCAGAGCAATCCTTCCCACTCCAGAGAGAGCCTGAAAGCAGAGTGAAAGGTTCCTCACCTAAAAGCCCCACTGCTGCACTCAACGACAGCCTGGTGGAATGTCCCAAGTGCAGTGTACAGTACCCAGCCAATGAACATCGAGACCTGCTCGTCCATGTTGAATACTGCATGAAGTAGCAGAAGTGCTCCTGCCTCTGTACTGAACAAGTCCACACTGTATCCTATGTTTGTTTATGGGCACTTTGAATCACAGATTACATCTCTTGTATAAGAAGCTCCCTGTCTGCCCTTGGCCTCTGCCATATGAGGGCATCCTTACGTTTTTCTGGCCACTTTACGTTTTCTTTGTAGTGATACCTTCCTGAGCCGCTTCATCATCAGGCTGCAGTGAATGTGGTGAGCAGCGGGTACCCAGACGACTAGCACTTCACACTTTTCTTCTAACTGGCACTTCACGCTGTTCTAGATTCAATGAACAAGAGCTATTTGGGTTATTGATTACGGCTTAAAGCTAAAGGCCAGCAAGCAAATATTTTATGCTTCGGGGGTTTTCAGAGAGTCAGACGGTAACTAACCGCAGCTCTTACTGTGCTGATCCTTTTTATATAAATGCTTGGTATACTGACACTTCCAACGTGATACCTCTTGCTATTGTCCAACAGTTACTAGAAAAATCAGGGAGTTTTGTAATCTTTATTGCTGTTAACTCTTCTAAGCATAAAGCAGGTTTTGTTTGAAGAATGCCTTTAAGTAGTTGCACATTTTCACTCACATTTTCTGACCATAACTTTGACTTAAATTTCAGTAACACAGGTCAGTTCCCTAAAATGCCAAAAGGAACAAAACAAAATTATCTTGCCTCCTCATTCAGTTTGCAGGTCTTTTATTATAGCTTGATTGGTTTTTGTTTTTTGGCATTCTCAGAGATAGGTGAGCGGGGTAATTATCCAATATTTGTTTTCTGAATAGATATTTTTATATATGTTTCATGTAAACCAAAAGGTGTTATTTCTTCAGATTTTCGAACTTGCTTAAACCTGAGCTACTGTTAGCAATATGAAGGAGGAAATAAATGTATTATTTAATAAGTTCGTGTCTACTATGTATGTATGTACATATGTTCTTAAGATCTCTAGTCACAAAGTGGTATTGGGGTTCTGGATTGACACACATAAGGTGACGGGAACTGAGAGACACCAGAGCCATGCTGTGAGGGAGGTCAAGGAGTTGGAGGTGTCTCTGCCGACCAGGCTGCAACTCTTAAATACTTTTCTGAGCTGTTTGTTACAAAGGCAAAGCAACAAGCCTGTGAAGGAATATGTGATTTTGGCTTTTGAATTTGGGGGGCATAAAAACTGTACAGATTTGTTAATGTAAATAAATTTTTGCCTTCGGAGTTAATAATCCCATATGTCTAGTATCTTCAACCTTGGTTGGAGGAAAGATAGAGAAGTACTTTTCAGTTAGATAGCTCTTACTCTGACCCACAGGGCTATGCCAGAGGCCACAGTATTTCATTCTAAATGTGTGCTATAAGAAGAGGTTTCTCAGCC